GCTGCGGCGGTGCGCGGGGCCGGCCTCCCCCGGCCTGGAGAGCAGCCTGGTGCTCCTCCTCAACCAGCTGTGCGTCTCGGTGGCCAGGGAGCCCCCACTGCTGGAGCTCTTCTTCCACAGCCCCACGGAGCAGGGCCCCCCCGACCTGCTCCTCTTCTCCCTCCTGGTCCCCTTCGTCCACCACGAGGGGGTGGTGGGCCAGCAGGCGCGCGACGCCCTCCTCCTGCTCATGGCCATCTCTGCCGGGAGCCACACCGTCGCTCGCTATATCACTGACCACTCCTACTTCTGCCCGGTAAGGCCTGGGGGGGCGCGGGGGGGCAGGCGCGCCTTGATCCCTTGGGAGAGACAGGAAGGGGAGGGGGGCGTGGCGGGATGTGCTGGGATCTGAAATCCATGCCGACGGTGCTGAGAGCACGTGATGGATGCCGAGTGCCCGTGTCTCCCATCGTGGCCTTTCCCTAAAGGGGGTGTGCCTCCCCCGGCCGGAGGGGGCAGGCTCCCTGAAAAGCGTTGCAAGCGCCCCAGTGTCCGATCTAGGATTCACTGGAAGGTGAAGGGGCCACCTGTCGTCTTTCTGGCTCTTTCCTTGCAGCCATGAGGACTAGCCCCTTGGGTTTTAGTTGGATTACGATCAAGAAAGGAAACATGTGAAACAAGGGTCTCCTCCCCTGTGGGAGGCGGCCTTGGCTGAGGGGTGTCTTCTACCCCTCCCCTTCCCGCCCCCCCCCCCCCCGTTCCTCTTCCGCAGGTCTTAGCCACAGGCCTGAGCGCCCTTTACTCCTCTCTGCCCCGCAAGCTGGAGGTCCGTGGGGATGACTGGCACTTCTTGCGCCGGGAGGACTGGATCGGGGTCCCCTCCCTGGCCCTCTTCATGAGCTCCTTGGAATTCTGCAACGCGGTCATCCAGGTGGGCTCAGGAGGGATACCCCAGAGGGGCCTGGGATGGGGCTGAGCCCGGGCCAGGGGCTAGGAGGGGCGAGCGCAGGGAGGGCGTCGAGAGGAGGTGGGCGCCCCGTGCTCAGGACCGCTCTGTTGGGAACAGCAACGGCCGCCTCCCAGGGTTGGGGTTGGCTGGCCTGGTGGTGAGCCTGCCATGGACCCCTGGAGAGGGCAGGGAGCCCCCTCCCCTCTGCCCTGGGAACGTGGGGGGCACCTCCTGCCTGTGGGGTGTTTGGGTGAAGCTGGGCGGCTGCTCCCCCACCTGGACGGACACTACAGGCTTCCTCCCACCCTTGGCCGCCCTCTGGCACCCTGGGGTGGAGCATCCTTTCCTGAAGCTGGCTTTCCCCCACCCCCCCCCCCCCCCCCCGCCTCCGTGGCCCACCCCTTGGTTCAGAAGCAGCTGGTGGATTATATCCATAATGGGTTCCTGGTGCCAGTCATGGGGCCTGCCTTGCACAAGGTAAGACCCGGGTGGCCCTTCTGGCAGGGAACGCACCCCATCCCATCTTGCAGAGAAAGAGGGAGGACGGGGTGTGTGTGTGTCCCCGCTTGCCTGCCCCTCCCCTCCTCATGTGCTCCTTGCTGCTCCTCTGCTGTATTGAGGGCAGGAGGGGGCACTTTGGGCAGATGGGAGGAGGGGGTCTGGGGGGGAGCCCCAGGGCTTCGGGTCCGGTTTCCACTCCCCTGTTCTTTGTGCATGTCCTGCTTCTCTGGGCAACACAAGGGGGGTGTTGGTTTTCCTCTTCCACAGTCCAAAGGCCCGCCCTCTCCTGATTCTCTGGGGGCGAGGGCAATGGGGCAGGACGTGGCAGGATCAGAGCCAGGAGGCCCCCAGCTCTGAGGAGGGAGGGGCAGGACGGGCCCTGGCCTGCGGACGGTGGGCTGGTGGGG